GATCTGGCTGCCCCGATGCTGCAGCCGGGTTGTTTCGGCGGCCGGAAGATCACCGCGCTCGTCTCGCGCGAGAGGCTTTGGGCTTTGAACAAGCGCGAGCCTGCGGCACGCTTCGGTGCGGCAGTCTAGCGGCACTCCCTATCTTTAGCCAGGGTATTTTTGTAGTGGGATGAGCGATCGCAGCACGCTCACCTACCTAACCGCAGTATTTAAGCTTCATTAGTTAAGGCGGGGGGTTATAATTAGCTCAGAGTTAGGCAGCTGCCGAGGCCGCTGCCGCCATCGGTTGTTTCTGCAGGGCGAACCACCGTCGCAAGCTCCCGTTTTCCCGGGTGCCCTGCACGTGCCACGGGCGGATGCTTCCCTGGGCTTAGCTGGTATTAGCTTGTACCGCATCACAGCAGATGGGGCCAAGACGAGAATATATATATATTTATTTTTATAGCACTTACCATCGTGTTCTTTGTGCTTTCTACGGGGCTTCTTGCATGAAGGTCACCGGTTTACTAACGTTGGCCTGCCCGAAAGCCTCGGGAGGAATACAAGTTGGGCTGCTATTCGTAAAGGAGGAAACTCAGGCAGATTTTTTTGTTTTTTGTTTTTTCCCTCCTCTACAGGATGCACCATTTTTAACAGATTCCATAGTGGAATCTGTCAAAATAAAGGACTGCTTTCAGCAATCTATCATATAGGTCTCTTATAACATGTTCACGTTAAGTTAATTAAAAGTGCATTGGTCAATTCACTGCCACTTCACATGTACTCCAAGAATGTGTTTAAATACTTTTCATTTCAAATCTGAAATTAGTACCAATTCCTGAGAAAAGTTTCCTATCCAGCACTGTCATAATATTAAGCTGCTACTCCCAGCCCCTGAGGAGTCCCCCCGATTTGCCTTCTGCATGTTATATTCAGGATTATGGCAGTTTTCACTCTGGAAGTTCAGTTAGCTGGGGGATTGAGGACCGAATTACGTTCTTGTTTGGCTTACAAAAAAAAAAAAAAATGCAGAAATACAGGATTCGGTCCAAACTTCTCACCTTGGGAACGCTTTACTGGTGTGCGAGATGGGCCGTAGTATCTCTATGTGCTAATTTGTCTTGACCATAAAGTGAGAAATGTTGAGCAGTTGAGGCTGACATAAAACTGGTTCACATCAGCACTTTAAAAATATCTGAAGGGCTTGTTCATCCCCCCCCATCCATGTGGTCGGGATACATGACTCACCGGAGCTGGGGTTGCAGGCTAGTGTTATCACTTAAGTGACAGTTAGATACCAAAGAGGTTTAAGACTGCACAGGTTCGTTTAGGTCTGGGATATGAAATTTCAAATGACATATGAAAAACTATGGGCTGCTGTTGTGTTCTGGGGGGTTTGCTGCCTATTTCTACAGCAGGGGAGGGAGGGGGAATTAAAACAGGAGCTCAAAGAGGATTTTAAATTGATTTTTACTGAATTCAAAAGATGGCATCACAAACAAGCCTTTACATCAAGGCTTAATGGCTGCAGAAGTGCGTAAGCAGAAGAGTCAATTGTTTTCCAAAGGCAGTTGTACTCATTCCATTATAAAAATGCATTTTTTAACATACATTTAAGCCAGTGGAATATAAAATAAGAAAATTAAAAAAAAAAAATCCTGTCCATCACAGAGTTGTAAATAAGTTACTTCACTTTTCAATTATATACAAAAGATGCTTTCCAAAGGACAGTATAGGAAGAGTTTACACAGATAAACCCTAATTCTGACTTCTGTCTAAATACTATTTACATCGTTCTGTACATGGGTCTTTCAGGTCTTCAGAGACCCTGAAAAGCAAGAAGGAAAAAATATGACTATCCGAGCATATGAATGGGTTGTTTCAGCAGTCAGTCCCTCACATTGCAGCCCCTCCGAAGCAGATTCGTATTTACCTATAAGCAATTTAAAAGCTTGTTTTGAATGTCTTCCAAGACTTGATTGTAAAGTTCATCTCTAGACTTTAGTCCATCTAAATAAACTGAAAGAGAAAAAAAAGATTGAATCAGTCTGTAGGTTTCTGATCAGAACAAACTTTATGTAGATTAGTTTTAAAATATTTCATAGTGGATTGACCCGAACAGCAACTTGTTTGCCAACCAGAAGACAGACACCTCCCCCAACCCCTGTCTCAGTAAATCTCTTATCCTATGATAAAGAATGGTTTTGCTATAAATGGTTATAATCTAAAACAAAGGGCAGATGTTATTAGCTACAAAACTGCGTGTATTTATCTGAAGAGAAGGTAAACCAGGATGGCAACTCACTGGTAAAAATAGCGCCCTTTATCATTACAGGTTACAATTTCCTTGAATTCAATTACCAATTTCCTTAAAATCCGAAGTACAATGCCAAAGGCTTTGTATTTGGAGAGACTTACCAACGTCAACGCCACTGTCCTCCATTTCTTTCCTGTGTTTTAAATACATGGGCCAGACATGTCCATCAAAGAGACCCGGTGGGTCAGGAACAGTATAGTTCCGTGTACTGCAAATATTGAAGCGGAAAAGCACATTAAGACTACCAGGGCTACACCATCTCTGGCACAGTGCTAGAGCCTGAGGCTAAATGCAACTGAGCAGTTGTCAGACTATGTAAAATCCGATTGTCGCAGCCCAGTTGCTCATCAATAACTGTCTTACATTTTACAACTAGTTTATTTGAACATCCAAAATAAATACGGAAACTACAGGTAGCCTGTGGTACGCATGAAGGCAAACAGTTGCTAAAGGTTTGCTCATGAGTGAAGCATGCAGTGGCCCCCGATCCTTTTGCACCTGTTAATGGATGGGCTGATGAAACCAGAAGAGACAGCTAGATCTGAAGATTCAGTAAGCGCCATATGAAAATCTCATCCTCTAACTGACTTAAAGTTTTCAGGTGTAATTCCAATTTGTAAGAGACATCAGTCTATTCCATGAATAGCATGCCGGTAGCCTGAATGCTTGCCTCTCTTGCCTTTAGTAGACAGTCTCGAGGGGAAGAAGGGACTAGACTTAGGCCAAGCAATCTGCTTACCTTCTCCTCCTTTTGCATTCATCATATGGAACTGCCAAGTAGTAGCGTACATCAAATAGGTCTATCAGTGGTCTGGGGTAGGGTGGAAAGAAAGAACGTGTCTATTTATTTTTTTCTGACAGAGAAAAGTGACAAGTCACCCCTGAAAAACCACAGCATCGTTCTGCTTTTCCTGTATTCTTGTCTACCGTAGACAGCAGAAGTGTTTTCATAAAGGGATAGGTAACGGCCAGTAGGTTTATTAGTAGCTATAAAAATGAAAAATGCTGGTTTTCATAGGTCAGAATGGTATGCCAGCTACTTTTCCCACCCAAATATCACGCTACTAGTTACCGTGGGGAATCAGACGCAGGCTAGGAAGTCCTGCGGTATGAACTATGACAGTTTTTCTATAGTGTATTATTTCAAAATTCACTTGCGGCAGACCACAGCTTTGATTTATCGGTCTCCTATGAACTAATTCATGAAAAGTCTGGCCTGTTACGTGGAAACAAGCTGTCAAAATGCATGTGGACCCACAGATTTGGCACAAGGCAACTCATCACCTCATGTTCTTTTCAGGAAAGACAGGCAGTTAGTTCTACGCTGCCTTAGGGAATTGTACTCCTGTTGGGTCGAAGGAGCTAAACCTGCAAAAGTCATTGATGCGAATCCAATTTAAACAGCTAGTTTGAACACTGTGGGACTAGCAGATTTCTAAAGGCCTGCCGGTGGTTGCATAAACTCTTAATATAGTATTAGCTGAGCACGCCCCAGGTCTATGACTACAATATTCCCTCTGGACTACAGGCGGGCTCCTTCTAACAAGGAGCACTTCAGAGAGATTTGTAACCTTCAGGAGGGATATTTCCCTAGGGAAAGGCCAAGAAAACCAATGCAATCTTTATTTGGCCATTCTCAGTATACATAATCTGAGGAGACTGCCATTTTCCATTGAGTTTGGAAAGCCAGAATGGTGCTGCTTGTCTTACGGTACAGCTTACAAGCAGCTCCATTTTGCCAAGTGTCATGCACAGCTTTTTCTCAGGAAATACTTTTGTAAACCAAACTCGCAAAAGATTCTTGGCTCCAAGCTGTGGTTATGTTCATAGCATGCGTTTTTCTGAAGTGTATATATTTAAATGTTGGAAACATTCACTCTCTTCACTGCCAGTCTAGTCTTTGCCATCTTCGTGCCAAGTGTTTTTTTTTTTCCCCCCCCTCCTCATATAAGGATGGGAAAGAAAGTAAGTCTTGGCAATTAATTGTACATTGGAGCAAAGCTCAATTTAGCCCATGCTGAACAAGTGCATGTATCGCATGAGCAAACTGCTCTTAACCATCCTGACAGATTCCACGAAGTGAACGGAGAACTGATTATCTTCTTGTTCTTATCAAGGACCTTTTCAGTTCCACGTTTAGGCCTGGCGGTGGGAGGGCAGGAGGGAAGCCTGGCCTTTCATTGCTGCCTCAGTAGGTACAAGTGCTGGCCCGAAGCTCTCCGTGTCCCAGCGTTCAAAGGCGGCGTGCTCTAAACGAGAGCTTCCTACGTTACTTTGGCAAAGGCGCCTTCTGCACCTCACTTTTACTGGCAGTAAAATGAGAAAAGTTTGTATGCGTGATACCTCAGAACAACACAGGAAGGGTATTATTAGTAGACAGGAGGTTTTAGCCCTGGCGCTAGCGATCTAGTGTTCCTCACTGGCAAGCCATCAATAATTCCCCAAACCTTACTTGTAATTATAAAGCAGGAAGCCTTCAATGACCAATATATGGATATCTTTGGAGGCTGGCTCTTTAGAGCCAGGCGTAACATTCACCCCGTGGGAACGGGCAAACTTCACTGGGTTCTCAATCCAGGCACGCACAGTGCTCACCATTGCCTCCATATCCAAGGAATCCAACACTAGTTAGAAGAAAGGGGGGATGGGGTGGGAAAAAGGTATACAATCAAATGCCATGAACCACAGAGGTTTGAAAGTATAATGTAGAAAGAACTTGTAAAATTGAAATTTACGTAAATTTACTATTAAATCTTTAATAATTAAAAAGAAATACTTAGAAAAATATACATTACTGCATCCTATAGCGAACACTGCTCTTACCATCCCATTGTTTAAAGCCGTCTTCCCCGACTTCTATTTGATCTTGTGGCTGAAATATAGTGAGCAATAAAACATTGCTGCAAACTCAGCGTGATCAGCTACCTAAGATCCGATCACAACCTGGACACTACTGCAATACACAACAAAGCAAGTGTTCACTTAAAAAAAAAAAAAAAAAAACAGTTACAGACCCTAATGGTATTAATTTAAACTTCCCATCTTTCACCAACCCCAAGAGCTTTGGAAAGTTCTCTTGGCTCAAGTAAGCCAATTTTGGCAAAGAATTCTAGGTTAATATTTTGGCTAATAATACCAAGTTGAATTATTATAGACCCCCTGGTTGTAAGTCAACGAATAAAGCTTAGTATTTAAACACAGTGTTAAGTAACTATTAACATTTACATGCTCAACAATTGCTATTTTAATTCCTGCTCACGGTTCTAATACAAAAATGCAGGTCAGCATAGCTTAAGTTTTGGTCATCTAATTATAGTTTTGCTTGCAATAGCATCTGCAAGTCAAACGTGCCAGTGAGAAGTCGCATATGTTTATGGAAAGGTTAAACAGAATTCCACCTCCTTTACTGGAAAGGCTCATATTTGACTAAATTTGTGCCTGAGGCTTAGGGCAAAGAAGCGCTTCCAGCTTCAGCGTCTCGTTCCGTTTATGTGTTGGTAGGATGCGCTGCCAGGAAGGCAGGACAGACAGACAGCACAGCTGCCGATACTGGGACGGCACGCGTGTTGGGGGATAACGTACAAAGGCTGCACGTATGTGACCTCATCTCTTGGACTTGCACGGGCAATGGGCACTAATTGCCGTGTTGCAATTAGTAGGAGACGGCTGCAGCCTGCAGGATTTCGCGGTGTGGTTCTGCCACGACCGCTTTCCCCCGGCTGCTTTCCCGGCCGCGATGCAGAAGGCACCGGGGTATCCCGTCCTGATTTTAGCAACCTTTGCATCAGGTTTCTGATAATGAGCTATTAAAAGCTCAAGCAATGCCCAACACAACTGCCTTCCTGTATTTAAAGCGCTGTAGGTTTGTGTTTGTCGTTAAATTCGAAGCAGTGTTTTTTTTTTTTTGTTTAAATAAAGCATAACATGGAGGCAACATCCTTTTCTAAATAAAAGGAGGATGGAAAGCCAACATGGGGAAAATAATTTGTACAGAGTACACTTCAAGTGTGTAGTTTGGTTTAAGTTGGATGTGCTGTTAAAACTAAGGGAAACATCCACCACAACCGCTCTGTGCTCCACCATTTCCAAAGAAACCAACGGGCACCGGCATTTGCCAAGGCCAATATCTCCTCACCCATCCGAGACCACTCAAAAGCGGTAAAAAAAATGTTCCTCCTAAGCTGTCAAAACTGGCTTGAAACGCATGCACAAATACATACAACTTGGAGACGGCAGTTACTACGACTGTCACTAAATAGGCACAAGCGGCAATAACTGTTTTAAGTGGGGAGAAGAGTTCAGCTTACCTTGAAAAAGTCATCCTGGTGGACGACGCAGCAGTTGGGCAGCGCTTTGACGATTCGGTTGGTCAGAGTGGTTTTGCCGCCGTTGGTCACGCTAAACAGAGAAGGGGAGGTGGGATCACGAGAAGCCGGGCGGTGAGGAAGCGGGAGGTACAGCTCCTGCTAGACCCCCGCCGCTCTTCAGCGGCTCCTGCTTTGTCGCCTGCACTATCTGCTTCTGTAGCCTTAGAAGGAAACGGGTGAATTATCCCGATACGCTCGGTGAGGTGTTGGGAGAACGGCGCGCGCGAGCAGCGCCCTGACCACCTCAGTACGGCTTTTAGGAGCTCTTTTCTGATGTAGGGAGAGATCTCGGGTAGCGCGGAGGGGAAACGTCCTGCTTTAGGAGACAGAAATACCCGAGAAGGTCGGTGCCTCGGACTCCCTAAAGGAGCTCCCCTGGGACCGTGACTCCAGTTGCTCGGGGGGGGG